AAAAAATTTGATAAAAAAAAAATTAAATATATTTATTTATTTATTTATTTATTTATTTATTTATTTATTTATTTATTTATTTATTTATTTATTTATTTATTTATTTATTTATTTATTTATTTATTTAAAAAAAACTTTAAAGTCATGTTGAGGACTTTATTTTTATTATTTTTTTATAATTTAATTTTTATTTATTTTAATTTTAATTTTAATTTTTATTTTTTTTGAATATATAAAATTATATAAAATAACCATCACTTTAAATCATCCTATTTGTTTTTATATGATGGGTATATATAATAAAGAAAAATAAAATATTTAATAAAAAAAAAAAAAATTTATTTATTTGTATATTTTTAATGTTATTAAAATAGAACAATTTTATTTATTTAATTTTTTGATCGTAGTACTTTGTTGTTTTATTAATATTTTATTTAAGACTGCTGGTGATTTTATTAGGTTTAATATTTGTTGTAGTTTCTATTTGGATATAAATTTCACTATTTAATATTATTACTTTTAATATATTTTCTGCAACAGAGCGACTAATTACTATTACTTTAGTGTTTATTAAGCTTTTAATAGTGATTGAAATAATATGATTATCTTCAGTTTTTATCAATTATCGTTATCACAGTAGGGGAATAATACCTGATTTAATTACTCTCTTATTTTATTTTCATATATGCTGTCTTTGGGTGTTGTCTGTAATTATTTTAAAAGTATACCCCCAATTTTAGCAAATATCAACACGTTATGGCCATTTTAAATTTTTAAATAAATTTTACACTTATTTTTAAATAAACCTTTCGAAAATAAGTAAGTAAATCAATACATTATTTTAAAACAATAACAACAACAACAAACCCTATATATAGAAAATAGCATCATTGTAGAAATAGAAACAGAATTACTAATATAAATTAAAATAACTTTTCAAAAGACAGATTTAACTATTAAAACATGCCTTACAGGATCTGTAGTGTTTATATTACATAACTATTATATTTAAATATAAAAGAAACTAATATTTAATTTTAATTCTTATATAGTTAAATTATAATTCTTTCTCTCACAGTTTATTTATAATTCTTTCTCTCTCGGCATTATCAGGTTTTTTCTCTTCAGTGCAACCATGTTCTATCGTTAATGTCATAGGGCATTTATATAATTAAGGTAACTATAGTTAAAATTACATATATTAAATTTTATTATAAGATAAACTAATATTTAATTCATATTTAGTGTAATTGATTCTCTTTCAAGCTTCACACGTTTTATCTAAGTCTACATTGGGATATTCATAATTTTAAGGTCACTATAATGTTAATATTAACATAATTATTATTAAAAATGAATATAAAAGAAACTAATATTTAATTTTAATACTTATTTAGTTCAGATTCAATTCCTTCATTCATTAAATATTGGGGTTGTTTTTCAATTATTTCATCAAACATTGTAGGTTTATTAAGTCGTTCAAACGCTGTGGTTTTTCAAATCTTTCATCATACATTGGGGTTTAGTTTATTCTTTTTAATTGGGTTTTCATTTATCAAGCATTAGGGGGTTTTCCAAGTCATACATTGGGGTTTACTTTTTTCTTATTAATTGTTGTTTTCAGGTCATTAATCATTCATTGGGGTATTTGTACTTTATAGGTATTTATAATGTTAATATTTATATAATTATAATTATATTTGAAAATAAAAGAAACTAATATTTGTTTTTAAAACTTAAAAAGATATGAATTCTTTCTATTTCAACACACGATAATATAAATAAAGATAATAATATTTATAATAACGAAAATATAATGAAAATAAAAATAAAAATAATATAGTATCACAAAAAATTCTAGAAAATCAAAGAGGTATAATATTGAAAAAATTATTTTGATTAATGTGGTCTAATTCCCCATTTCATAAATTTTTGAATTAAAGTTTGTTAATGATTGTAAATTTCTAATCTATAACCTTATTCTTCTTCTTAATGGGTTTGATAAAATACCAGCCTTTAAACCTATAAGTGTTTTTGCCAATCTTAAACACATTCAAAATCAGAATCAAGTCCCTCTTCAAATATAACTTTACATTTGTAACACTCCATCTTTTTGTCTATATAGAGTTCTTTTTGTGTTGTAGTTGGAGCTTTATAAGTGGTGTTGTTAGATTGGAATTGTTGTTCTATTTCAACTAACCTTCTAATCATATCTCTTTGCTCATCTTCATTTGGTGATTGAAATCTGAATTCTTATTCTTTTTGAGTTATCCACATTTAAATAAATATTATATATAACTATTATTAATTATGTAATTATTTAGCTAAATAATTATTATTATAAAAACTATAGTTGAAATAAAAAATAAAAAAGAATTTAAAAAGCTATTGATTGAAAAGAAAAGAAAAGAAAAGAAAAAAAAAATAAATAAAAATAATTTTCTTTAATTAAATATCTCTTATATATTGTTTGTGATTTTATCAGTATATAATGTATTAAATTGTAAAGAAAAAATTAAATACTCTTTTGTAAAAATTGTTGATGAATTTTTATCTGAATATTGTAAAACCAGATTGAACCTCCTTTAATTGAGAAACTGTTTTTTCTTAAAAATTTGAAATTTTTTTAAGATGAAAACTTTACTTTATATAGTTGATTATAAGGTAATCTGTATAAAAGTTAAGTTCGCAATTTATATGATTTTTTCCAATTGTTTTTTTTTTTTTTTTAATATATTGTTTTTTAATTTATTAAATTTTTTAAATTTTTTTAAATTTTAATTAAAAAAAAATGTGTTTTATAAATTTTTTTTTTTTTTTTTAATTAAAAATAATAGCTTTCATAACCACACACACTATTTTACATTTTATATTGCTTTTTTTTACACCAATCAACTTTACCCATAGCATAATATTATTTTATTATACTTTTTTTTTTTTACACACCTCATTCAACTTCACTTTTTATTATATTTTTTTTTTTTGTAAATAATTTTATTTTTAGTTTTTATATTAAAAAAAAAAAAAAAAATAAATATATTTTGTAAATAAATTAGTTTATTATATTATTTGTTATTTGTTATTTATTTTTTTTGTTAATAATTGTTTGTATATTATAAAAAAAAAAAAAAAAAAATATATTAATTATTAATAAATTATTTTTATTTTATTTGTAAATAGTAAAAAAATGTTTTATTTAGTAATTTGTTTTTTCGTTTTGTTCATTTTTTATTGGTTTTTTAAAAAAATCAATAATAACACCACCAAACACTACTACCCAGATGGAACCGAGTATGACGAAGACTTGTTCCTCGACGACGCATTTTATGAGGATTTCCATAAAAAAAATAACCCACCACAACAAAATCCTCAATCACTATCACAACCACAACCAACAACCAACAATAACAACCACAACAAAATCCAAGACCATCTATCACAATCGCCCCCACCCCAACAACCACAACCACTATCACAATCACAACCACAATCACAATCACAATTACAACCAATACCAAAAAACACCGCATCTACCCCAGATTACAAAAAACTACTTCAAAGTATTCGTGATTACGAAATAGAAGAAGAAGAAGAAGAACAACAACAAATATCACAGCCAAAATCACAACCACAACCAACATTAACAGCCGCTACAGCCCCAATTATTTCAACCGCTGCAACTAGTATTAACTCAGGGGCAGTCAAAAATCCACAGCCATCACCACCTGAGGAAGCCATAAGACGTTTAAATCAACGTTTAGAGCTCTACCAATTAGAGAATAGTAGAGCAATTCCAGGAGATGGCAATTGTCAGATGTACGCTTTATCTGACCAAATTTTTGGGGACTTGAAACATAGTTTGGAAATAAGAAGAGCCATTGCCACTTGGCTCATTAAAAATAAGAATCTCACCCTAAAAAATGGTGCAAGAATATCCCAATTTGCACATACTACAAATTGGTATAAGTATTGCATCAGAATGGCAAGAAGCGGAACTTGGGGTGACCACTTAACATTAATTGCTGCTGCTGAAATTTATAAATCTAAAATAACAATTATTTCATCAGTCGAATATGATAGCAGCTTTTTCATTGAAATTGTTCCAAGTTCAATTGAAAATGATAGAGCAATTATTTTATCTCATCATGCCGAAGAACACTATGGCTCAGTACGTCCAATGATGGTTCAAGACGTAAATTATTAAAATTATAGAAAATTCAGCCAGGTTATATTTTATTTTTAAAGGTAAATAATTATTTTCTTTTTTTTTTTATCTTTTATAATTTTTTTATAATTTATTAATTCATTTTTTTAATACAATAGATTTCACTATTGTCATAATATTGACACTGGTCTATATATTTCGGTATTAGCTGTACAGTTAATCAATAATTTATAGACAGAAGGGTTTGTTAAATAATGGTAGTTCAAGTGGTAGTTCGCTCAGTGATTCAAATGGTGGTCTAAGCAATGTTTCAAGAATGGTTCAAACAATTCAAGTAGTGGTTCAAATGGTGGTCCCAATAATGGTTCAAGTAATCAGTGAAAAGGCAGTAAAAGTAATCGTTCAAGGGGTGGTCAAATGGTCGTTCAAGGGGTAGCTCGCGTGGGTATTCAAACGGTGGTCAAGAAATTTTTAAGTAGTTACATTAATAGTAATCAAATGTGGTTGGCTCAAGTAGCTATATATAGTAAACCAAATGTGGTTCATTCAAGTAGTAGTTCAAATAGTGTTTCAAATAATTATTTATGTGGTGAAGCAAATGCAGTTTCAAATGGTGTTATATCTATTAGTAATTCATGTGGTTATACATTGAATTGTAGGAGTCCAAAACAATTTAAATAATATCGGTCAAGCTAAAAAAATCAGATTAAGAACCGAAAATCAAAAAAGAAGTTAAAAAAATTAGGGAAGTGAGTAGAGATCTTCAGTTAATTATATGAAGGACCAGAATTCGTCAGAAATCATAACTTAGGTATGATATCTTTATATAAAATTTTATTTAATATTAAATTATATATTAATAATCTTTTTATTTTATTTTTTTTAATTAAATATATTAATTAACCACCCAATATAATAACAAAACAGTATACAATAGTCGATTTATTATGCCAATCAATCTCATCAACTATTTTATGAATATCATTAATTTGCTCTGGCCAAGTAATTATGATAGAAATAAAATGGTTTTAGGAAGAGAAGGTAAAGAACACAGAATCTTTCATAGCTATTCATCAAATAAGGTAATATCATACCTCGCCACTTCAAGAAGTCCATTAAACTTTAATTAAAATAACCACAGCAACAATTTGTAGATTTAAATCAACTATGGTAACAATCAAGGATTATGAAAAACTCACCCTCAATTAACTGGTTATAAAGATCCAGGCACAATTAGACAAATAAATATTTTTATAAAGATAGTAAACTAATTTTAATATAAATTTAAAACAATAACAATAAAAAAAATAAAAACTATTTTAATTATTTTTTTCAATGTTTCATCGTTTATTTTTCATTATTAAAAAAAAAAAAGAAAACTATGCTTTTAGGTTCCTCTTAGGGAGGGGATAGTAATGAATAAGGACCATTAATTAATAATAATCAACAGAGTTATTAATTTTATCAGCAACACACCAAAATAACATAAACAATAATTAATTATTCATTTAATGTATTGGAAACCAACTACAGTTTAAATATAAATTGTCGGAAATAAAAAAAGTTGCAAAAAAAGAATTAATCTATAATATGGCTAAATCTTGTAAAGTTCCTTTTTCAAAAGCTACAATTCATAACAGCAATTATCAAAATATCATATCACATCACCACCAAAAACAACTAATAGAAGTAAAAACAATTATTGGATCATGCAGGTAAAAAACCACCAATTAGATTCATTGGAAAAGCATATCCAATAGATAAATCAATCAATATTTTAAAAACTAAATTATTTATAAATTTAATTTAATAATCATTTAATAAATAAAAATTAATACTTTAAATATCATATTGCTAAAGTTATAGATACACCAAAAACATTATAGAAGAACTGTTATAGATATTTTATTGAATCGTTTATGTAGAAATAATGTTATAAACAATTATTAAATAAAAACTCTTAATTTTTAATGATATTTTTCTAATTATTTATTTTTAAAATTATTTAAATTAAGTTTGATCCAAAAATGCATCCAATTTTATTTTATTTTTAGTAAATCATATCTTTTTTCCCCAAAAAATTCAATTTATCAACTCAAACCCTCTTGTTAAATGTTGACTGCCTATTGTAGATAATTTGAAACCAAAAACATTGGTATCCAACCACTACTTATTATATATCATTTTAATTCATTTTTTATGATAAGAAATATTTTATAAAGCAATTTATATTGATCAACTCTTTTTAAATCAAATAATTGATGTGTTTTAAAATTATTTTTTTAATTTTCATTCCTTTATGATTTTTATGAGCTTTTTATTTTTCGTGCCGCGAGTTCCCCCACCCACACTTTTTTTAAAAAAATAAAATTTTATTTTTTTTTTATTTTTTTAATTTAAAGTAATTTACTTTTTTGGTATTTAAATGATCTACTAAAATTTGAAAAAGAAAATTAATAAAAAAATTATTGATTAATTAAAGTTTCTTTTTTTTTTTTTTTTTATTTTTTTTTCAAAAAAAACACCTTAAAAAAAAATCACATATAAAATTTAATACTAATTTCTAGTCTTATAATAATAATTTTGGATTATAATATATATTAAATAAATAAAATGGAAAATAATAACAATAATAATAATAATAATAATAATAATAATAATAATAATAATAATAATAATAATAATAATAATAATAATAATAATAATAATAATAATAATAATAATGTTAACAATAATAATAATGTTAATAATAATAATAATGTTAATGATAATAATAATGTTAATAATAATAATAATAATAACAATAATACTATTAATCCAATTAACTTTTTAAAAAGAAAATTAGATACTGCCAATGAAGTTTCCGCACATGCTAATGAAGTTTCCACATATGACATAATGTCCGAGATTGACTCACTTATTAAACAAAAAGAAGAACATCATAAAGAAACTATTGAAGCATTCCAAGTACATACAAATATTTTAAATGAAAAAATAATAGAAGTACAAAACAAAACTCAATCAAAAAAAAATAAAATGTGCCAAGTTGTTTCCGAAATTTTCGACAAATACCAATTAGCATCAAACGAGATGATTCAAATAAGTGAAATTCATGCAAGAAATGTTCAAAGAAATGAAGAATTAGAATTTCATTTAGGTTTACACAGACAACACGGTATAATTATGAAAAATAGAAACAAAGAAATTAAGGAAGCCATTAGAGCAAATCTATTAAGAATAGAAAATTTAAAGAGGGACATTCAATTAGAAGAAACTGCCAAAGAAAACTCTTATGGCAGAATGGATGAATAAAAGGT